AAGCCACATAAAGCAAGCCAGCAAGAAGCTTTTCTCCATGGCCCCCACCTCATTTCCTGCCTCTAGGTTCATGACTTGAGTTCCTGCCTTGGTTACCATGGAGATGGATTGAGTAAGGCAAACAAGCCCTTTACTCCTCTTAAGTTGCTTTTAGTCTATGCTTTTTCTCAGAAATAGAAAGACCAAGGTAGAATTATGTAATTCGAGAAGACACTCCAAATTGCTTCAAGGGCCATCTTTTAGCCTACAGTATGTAATTAAACACCTACACTATACATTCTATTGCAAACATGACGTGGTTTCTCATTCTGCCTTTCTCATGTTATTGTGAGTGTCCTAGAGTTACTGCACTTTACTCATTGTTTTCCGTGCTGGATATTTTTATATCAACCCGACACAAGCTAAAGTCATTCAAGAGAAGGAAACGCCGACTAAGAAAATACCTCTTTAAGACTGGGCTGTAGGGATGTCTTGTAGAGTATTTGTTTAAATTAGCAATTGATGAGGGAGGGTCTAGCCAATTACATGTGGTGCCTCCCCTGCTGCTGGCCCTGGCTTCTATAAGATCTGTGGTTGGACGCCCGGAGCTCCACCTGGGGCTCGACCATGGATCTCTGCATCTGCTTCCATCAGACACTGGATGAGAATTCTTTCATGACAGCCAGGGTGTTTGGCCATCCAATCACCAGAGCAGGTCAGCTCAGGCACTCTCTCGACCATTACTCAGCCTTGGACCTGCCTCGGCTGAGTCTACCAGGCTGGGTTGACTTCCCAGGGGAGACCTTGCCTTGGAGGAAGTGGAAATGGGGGGTGAATTGGGGGGGAAGGCTGGGGGGTGGGAGGACAGAGGACGGGGGAATCCGTGGCTGATATGTGAAATTAAATTAATTATAAAATAAAAATACTATAAAAAAGAAATAAAAAGAGAAAAAAAGACCTGTGATTGGTATGTAAAGGGAATAGAAAATGTATTAATAAAAAAATGAAAAAGAAAAAAGAAAGCAAGCTGAGCATGCCATGTGGAGCAAGCCAGTAAGCAGCACTCCTCCATGACCTCTGCATTAGCTCCTGCCTTCAGGTTCCTGCACTGCTTGAGTTCCTGTCCTGACTGCTTTTGGTGATGACCTGTTATATGGGAGTTTGATTAAAATAAACCCTTTCCTCCTCAAGTTGCTTTTGGCCATGGTGTTTTAGGTAACCTTCAACTAAGACGGAAATTGTGTCAAGGTTGGGGCATTGCTGTGACAGGCCTGGCCATGCTGTTTTGGGGAGGACTGTGGAAGGACTTTGGAACTCTGGGCAAGTAAAGCTATTGAGTGTTAAAAGATTGGTGAGTTGCTCTGTCGGAACGTGGAGGAGTATTGACAGCAGTACAAATGCTCTCGGGCTAGCTTGTGCCATTCCAGAAGGAAGTGAGAATGACTTAGAGATTATCAGAGCTGTTATACAGTTGCTAGTTTGAATTAAAATTCTAAGGTTCTGGGCATCTGTGGCTGAAGAACCAGCCATCATAAACAAGAGAGCAGAGCCACCAAAATGAAACCTTTGCTTTCCTGGGACAATTGAAGCTGGTTACCTGGAGCTGAGAAATCAGCAGTGATTAAAAAGAGATCAGCAGCACCCCTGAGGTGAAATCTCCTTAGAAGTGCTTCTGGAGAGTCAGCAGACAGAAGCTATGCTGCAGAGGTGGCCAAGGTTGGACCTTACAGTAGCAGCTGAAGTCGGTAGTGTAAGAGTCACCCAGGTGGTAGTGGCTTTGAAGACATGAAGGAACTATGGAGGGCAGCTGAGGTTTGGCCCTGTGGGAGGCCAGGAGAGGTCATTGGTGAAGGGACAGCCTCAGTAACAGTTGAAGACATAGGATTAAATGGGTCATGCAGAGTATTTGAAGTTTGGCACCATGAAGAGAGCCCAGGAGAGGCTATTGGTGAAAGTACAGCCCAGTTTCAGCAGGAGACCCCAGCATTTTGGAGATGCCAATAGCATGGGATGACTACCCAGAACAGCAGCAGCAGTACAGTGGAGACTGCTAATCTTAGAAGACAAGCCGAGCTTGTTTCAGAAGAGGATGGAGCCTGGGAAGTGAACCAAGACCCTCTGAGCATCCCAGAAGATCTTAAGTGAATAACTGATATTGGATGTTGAGTTTGATTTCACTTTGATCCAATTATGACTGTGCCCTAGTTTTTCCTTCTTGAAATAAGAAAGTATTAAACTTATTTTTTATTTACTAGAACTGTACAGCTGAGAGACTTTTGGTTTTAAAAAGAGACTTTGGATGTTAAAAGAGGCTTTGGGATTTTTAAAGAGACTGAATTTTTAAAGTGAGTTTGTAAGATCATGGATCTTTTTAAGTTTGTAAAATGTTTTATACTGTGATGTTTATATTAATATGTGATCGTGGGGATAAACAAGAAAGGAAAGGTTGTGGCTTTACAGTGAGGTGTTTGTGTGTCAAATTGACAAGGGTCAATTGTGCTGGATATTTTTATGTCAATTTGACACAAATTAGTCATCTGAGAGAAGGGGACCTCAATTAAGAAATTATCTCCATAAGACTGGACTGTTGGGCATTTTCTTAATTAGTGATTAGTGGTAGAGTCCATCCTACCCCTAAGTGAGTGGTGTCATCCTGGGATGGTGGTCCTAGGTTTTGTAAAAAAGCAGGCTAAACTAGGCAGAGGGAGCAAGCCAGTAGGCAGCACCCATCCATGACCTCTGCATCAGCTCCTGCCTCTAGGTTCCTAGGCTTTTGAGTACCATCTTTCACCGCTTTTAAAGATGAACTGTTATATGGGAGTGTGAACAGAATAAATCCTTTCAGCCCAAGTTGCTTTTGGTCATGGTGTTTCACCACAGCAATGGTAACTCTAAACTAAGACATTTTCCAATTTGGACTCTAGCTGATATCAAACCCTTAGTAAACCACTGAATGAATAAATAGAAAGTGACCTTTCACTTTTCATGTGTGATAATAATTTTAGTTTGTACTGACTGAGAATATTGAAAACGTTGCCTTTTTTAATTTTTTTAATTTATTTTACAAACCATAGTTTCCCCTCCCTCCTCTCCTCTATACCCCACATCCCCCTACCCTCCCATCCACTCCCCAGAAATGTCAAGGCCTCCCATGGGGAGTCTGCAAAACCTGCACATCAAGTTGAGGTAGGACCAAGCCTCCCTACGCCGGCCTGGCATTAAGGCTGAGCAAGGCATCCCACCTTAGGGAATATGCTCCAAAAAGTCACCTCATGCATCAGGGATAGATCCTGGTCCCACTGCCAGGGGCCCCACAAACAGACCAAGCCAAACAACTGTCACCCACAGCCAGAGGGTCAGTTTTTGTCCCCAGCTGTCGGTACAGAGTCTGTTGGGTTCCAGGAGCTCCAGACAGCAGTTTCTGTGGGTTTAACACTTCCAAAGGAAAAAGTTTGTATGGCATTAGATTAGTCTTACATAGTTCTGTTTTTGTTTTGTGTTTTTATTTTTTTTTTATTTTGCAAGACTATTTACATTCATTTTAGCATCATGGGCTTGTTGTTTAGGGAATACTACATGGATAATATAGTCTTTGCTTAGTTCATAAACAGTTGGTATGAAAAAAATGTTGTCTTTGTGTTTGAAAAATTCCTTTATTTTCTTATAACTGCCATTTGCTTTCCAACAAGACTGGAGAGTGTGACAATTCATGTAGTAGAGTCAATTACTTTGTGTATTGATTATGGATGTATAGAAGCACAATTATCTTGAACCTTTGGCTACATTCAGAAGTTCAGAACTATGATGTGTATGGAATTGCACTGGCTCTCCTTTCAGACCTGTCGATTGCATACAAAGTCAACTGCCTCACTGGGTTCCATTAGAAATTGCCCATACATCTCTTCTTCATCTTTTAAGTGACCCTACAATAAATCTCACATTTTTAAAATATTTCAGTGTTATATCTCACTATAATATCCATGGGTTTCACAATTTTTTTCCATTCTTTTAAAAAAACATACAAATCTACTTGGTAGGTAAATATTTTTGAACATAATAGGTTTTATAATTAGTAGTTTATATAAGGATACAAGGTAAATTATTCCTTTCTCAGAGTGTGTTGCAATGAAAACTCACCTTTAAGATTTCTTTTTAAAGTTTTCATGAGGAGTGTAATATTGTCTTTATTTGGATACTAAATCTATGTGGCTTGTAAGAAGTAAATGGTCATTTAGAGTTAAATTTTTATTTAATGTATGGAGTTTCTTCTCCTACCATGTCATAAATACCTTCAAGCTAATAAAACATGCCACCGTCAAAACTAAATAATTCAACAGAATTATTAAGGAGTTAGTTTGCAAAAACTATTCATGAATCCAATTTAAAACTTAATCATATCTTCCATGGAAATTATTTTAAATAGTTGTTATTTATACTTATTTTTATTAAGTAAAAGTGTGATGGCGTGATAATGGCTCCACGGATAAAGTCCTTACTATACACGCATAAAGACAGGCCTGAGTTCAGATCCTCACTACCCACATAAACAGTTGGGCACAGTAGTATCTTCCAGTAGCCTTAGTTCTGGAGAAAAGTGGATCAGAGATTTACTGGCCTTATTCAGTTAGAGGACCTTTTGAAAAAAAAAAGTGGAGACAAAGATAAGCACACCATTATACAGCATGCACATGGATGTACAACACACACATACACACAAAGTCACATGCATGCACACACTTACATATACACAAGACCTATCAATTTTATCATGACCATCATATCTCAACATCTTGAAATATTTGAGCCACCTAAATACAAAATATTTTTTAAGTGAGAGTGAGAATGAGCAAATAAAGATTCAGGAATGAAGAGAATATCTGTTGTAATTCACTATCCCTGGTTGGAAGCTATTTGATGAATCCGTGAATTTATCATTATCTATAACAGAAGGAATATACTACAGTGTGATCCATGTTAACAGTTTTTCATTGGACATCTTTTCTCCCCCTTGTTTTCCCCAGCTGTAAGCACAAAATGTACCTTGAAAGGCTGCCAAACACCAGCATCATTATCCCATTTCACAATGAAGGCTGGACCTCACTCCTGCGGACCATACACAGTGTGATTAACCGAACCCCAGAGAGTCTGATAGCAGAAATCATTCTAGTTGATGACTTCAGCGATAGAGGTAAGCTGCACTAGTGACATTTTGTCTGAGGTGGTAATTGCACATAATTGTGGAAACAGAAAGATAGTGAGATGGCTTCTTTTTCGTCCCTTCGGAAAGATAATCCTGAAGTTTTACCTGTGCTGTGATTGAAGAAAAAATGTTGGCCAGTTGCAAAAGGAACATAATGAGAAGCTACTGGCGTGGGAGATTTTGTTGTCAATAAGAAATTTACATTGCATTCTACTGAAAATCAGACAGTACTTGGGAAATTGCCTCAAGCTCTACTTCCAGGCATGATAAACCTGGAAACTATGTTGTTGCAGGCACATGTCAGTAGAAAGTTATTCAAATAAGGCTCCAAAGTGTGTTTCTATTTCTGAATAGTATTGTGCCTTGTTGTTTACAGTCTACTACATCCTTGATGGTATGCTAATGTGACTTTACAAATACTACAAGTTACAAGGGACACAAATATAAATTTTTACTCGAAGTTTCAGTTTTGTTTTTTAAATTGTGTCTGAGCATCACAGAAGCAATTGCTATACCAACATAAAAGAAATCCTGACACAATATTAATGATTACCATCCAGAAAAAGCACAATTTGGCTCATAAGGGAGGGATGAAGTTATAAAATGTTTGCTGAGAGTTGGAATTCTTAAATTATATTTGGCTGAAATAAGAGATTGACAATGTAGAGATAGGAAAGCGCATCTCAGTGTCCATCAATACACGAGGAAGAGGTTTGAAGATATTCATATATTTGTGAATGTATTTCCATAGAATAGTGTACTACATAAAGGTGCTTTAATTAGCATGACATCTGCAAGAAAGAGTGGCAGCAGATTATTTGTGCCACTATTATTATTTCATCACAGAAGAAAACCTATCTTGAAATCATAAGGCTGAAGTTCTGTTCTGGAAATTGCATCAGCAACAAAGCATGATGTTTTTTACAGAATCTAAAAGTTATATAGAGGGAAGTTTAGTGTGCTGTATTGAGGAGGATTGACTTGAAATACAGATGAGAGAATTGTCAAAGATAAGTAGATTGTGGATTTTATGTGTCAAAAGTGAACAAAATCAATGTTCTTTTCTGGTGGATGTGGCTACCTTGGTCATTTCTGTCTGATTTTACAGAGGTTTCTCCATTCTGTTGCTTAGTATGTATTTGGTACTCTCTCAGAATGAAATCCTATGTATAAAACTGCAATAGTCACATATCTCTAGAAATTAAAAGCACACTATTTTATTTTTATTATAATTAATGTTAAATTTTTCAAAGTAGCCACATTTATCTCACATAAACATAAGCATTTAAATAAACATAAAACTTTGTTTACAAAAAGTAAAAAGTACAATAAAATCCAAGGTTGCAGATCACCAAGTGAATGGTCTCTAGGGTTGGCTGGGGGCAGATGATATTAGGCAGTATATGTGTGGGTAATTTTCTGCATAATTAACTTTGTCCCGGTAAACTGTTTATTATGACAGAATTTTTACCCTGTGGTACTGCAGTGGGTAATATATGACAGTAGAATAATGTGCTTTTGAGAATAGTTTGCAGAATATACTCAGACACATTTCAAGTGAAATTCTATAGATGAAGAGGATCCATGGTACCTAAATTTCTTAGCTCCAAATTACACTTGGCTTTGGTGCCAGTAGCTACTTTACAGCAGCCGTTTTTCTTCCGTTAGTGTGACCAGTGGTACAGATGTCAAACAAACCAAACAGGGCCAGTTAAAGATAACAATGGTGATCTTTCCCTTTATTACTGGACATTTTTAAAGGGAAATGATCAAATGCTTATGTGAAGTTTTCACTTAAATATTCCATTCATTGTAATACTTATTTTATTTTTAGACTATTTATTTTTATCACAGTCCTTTCAGTCCCCTCAACTTTACACAAATCTGCCCCACTTTGACCCACCCAATTTTATATTCTCTGTCCTGTCTCCTCTCTCTTCTTGTCTCAAAAGCAACAGCAAAGGCAATTAAAAATGTGAAAATCCAAAGCAAACATAATAAGACAAAACAAAAAACCAAGACAAAAAGCACACGTCAAAACACAAAGAGTCTATTTTGTCCCTGCTGGCTACTCATGGGCAATGCCCTGGGCTCTGGTTGGTATACCCAGTAGCTCTCCATTGGAGAAAATTTAGCTGTAAGCCACATTTTGTAATGAAATGCAAGACTGAATGTTGAAAGAAACAGGTGATAAAAATGCATCTATAATCTTATGTTTTACACTTATGAAATTATATGAAACAGGAAAATACTTTTTCCATATTTTTATTTGGGATTATGATATCTTTTGGATAATTTTATTTGGTTTGTATATTATAATCCTATATTATATATTATAATCCTACTAACTCCTTCTAATTATATGACACTGAGTTAGTTAGTTAACTCTTAAGAGCCCCACCTATTTTATCAAAAGGAGAGAATGGTATGTCTCCTCATGTAAGTTATGATGAAGATGAGTCTTGGGTGGTCAAAGGACTAAATGGAGTATGGAACAAACAGAACAGGTGAGACACTGACTTCATCTATTTGCTTGTACTGCATACTCCCATACAACTCTAAAATGGTCTCCATTCTTTTCTGAGAATACATTTGTAATTTCATCAAATAAACCCCACGAAGTTCTTCTTTGTCTATCAAAATCTCTATTCATCTGTCATCCAGCTGTTTCCAGAATGCATGTGATGACTAACTATGGTGATTCATAAGTTTTGGAAACTTTTGGAGTACCTGGACAGAAAGAACCACCCATATGAGATTACTAACTCATTATAGACATGTTAAATAAATAAGATCCCAAGAATTTAATGAAATTGGAGATCACACTGTCTGACAATGTTATGTGAATGGACTTAAAGTTGTGTTTAACAGAATATTTTCCAAAAATGATTTTTACCATGGTAAGGAAAGATAAGTAAGATATCCCAAGGCTGGTCTTACTTCCAGAGCCTCTAAGACAGGAGCTACTTCTATCCTTTTTTTGAACTTGATATATCAATATAGATATTCCATTAATGCTATGATTAATAGCATATTGATAAGGATATATATACATCTATATTGATAACAGTGTGCATTAGCTTTTTTTATAATTTCATAAATTACATCCTTATATTGCTTAAAGTTTTTTTTTATGAACTCTTTAAATCTCAGAACAAGTAAGCTTGACAAATTTAAAGTCTGTAAAGATGTAGTAAATCTGTTAGTTTCCTTAAGGAAATTATTTCTGAAGTTTTACACTTTATTTTCAGTAATACATTCCAGTCCTAGTTCCTTTTAGTATGCGACCTCACTCCTTCCCAGCATATGTGTTGTGGATATTTTGCAATGTCCTTCAGCCAAAGGCAATAAAAGTTTGACAAGACTTAATCAAAATTCCCTGCCCTATATTTTAGATGCCCAAAGTCAATAGAATAGTGACATATGACAAAAAATGAGGGATGGCAATATTTCAGCTATCTTAGCAGCTTATGTATAATATCACTTGGATATACCTATTTCTAATACATGTATGTATTACAGTAATTGGCAAATTCTATTATAAAGAAAACACTAAAATATCATGTAGTTATGAATAATTCTGTTTCATTACTATGTGGTTTTCTCAAAAATCTGCCTAAGTAGAATTGACCTAGTTCTCAAAAGTTATTTTTTAAAGTCAGTATCCCACCCAGGAGTTCTCACTTTAGGTACTTTTCACAAGGCAAGATTGGTGAAAAACCATTGTTTTAGTCTCATAAAAATAAGCATACCATCTCTAAAACGTTAAGTTTGAGGCCTGCAGCTAAATTTTCAAACAACCTCTGCCTTGTTTTTACTATTTAATGCTCACCTTTCCGTAGTGAGTGAGTGTGTAGCTTTGCCCCAACTAAGCTCATAGAAATACACTTTAAAACCTAACTTGAGGCCTATATCATGGTTTCATGGGGGACTTTAAAGCAGGAGTAATCCTGAGCTTATCTCCAAATTCCAGGCCACCTTAACAGTATCCCCATGAAAACTGTTAAAATGTGTGAAATAAGCTAGGGTTTATCCTCAGAGATTGGGTGTGTATGAACATGACAATTCTGTATGTAAGCTTAGACAAGCACACATCCAAGTTAGGGGTAGTCACAGGAAGGCTCAGACACATTTCTGTCAACAGAACATGCATGTAGAGGTTTCACTATGCATCTAGGAATATGCACTAAAGCACAGATATACATATACACACTCACACATTATTGGCCTTCTTTGTTTCAAGTTTTATTATGAACCCAGGTAGACAGTTTACATTTATATTTCCTCTCTGTGTGCTAGATGGGAGGAAAAGAAAGAGACCTTAACTACCTTCACAAGATGGCAATTGTGGTAATTTTGAAGAAATCCAACTTACTTTTCCCCAGATACTCTAGACTGTTGTGGGACATTTGTTTACTGCTGTGGCTATCACTCTGTATGCTGTGAATGTGTTGCTCTGATTTGGTTGATAAATAAAATGCTGATTGTCCAGTAGCCAGGTAGGAAGTATAGTATAGGCAGGATAAGCAGAAAGGAAAATTCTGGGAAGAGGAAGGTTGAGTCAGGAGATTCTGCCAGCTGCCGCTATGAGAAGCAAGATATAAAGATACCGGTATGCCACGAGCCTCATGGCAAAGTATAGTTTTATAGAAATGAGTTAATTTAAGATGTAAGATCTAGCTAGTAAAAAACCTGATCCATTAGGCCATACAGTTCATCATTAACAGTAGTCTCTGTGTTTTTATTTGGGTCTGAGTAGCTGCGGGCCCAGGCGGGACTAGAGAAAACTTCAGCTACAATTTACACTTTGTGAAGATGTGTCTATGTTTTGCCAGACCTGCCTAAGGTGTCTGATTGGTTTAATAAAGAACTAAATGGCCAATAACTAGACAGGAGGGGATAGGTAGGACATCTGAGCAGAGATAGGAACTGTGGGAAGAAGAGAGGTAGGTTTGGGGAGGGAGTCAGACTTACAAAATGGAAGAGAG